GACTAAGCGTGTCATCTAGGATGCACTAATGTTATTGTGAAAAAGAAATTTGGGTCTATACAATTATGCATAGACTATTATCAGTTAAATAAGGTAATAGAGAATAACAAATATCTTCTTCCAAGGATTTATGATCTTTTAATTAGTTAAAAAGGTACATTAGAGTTTCCCAAGACTAGTATTTAATATGAATATTATTAGATAAAATATAAGGAAGAAGATCTTCCTAAGATAGTTTTCAGAATTCAATATGGACACTACGAGATGCGGTAATGTCATTTGGTTTAACAAATATTCCTACAACATTTATGGATTTGATAAACGGAGTATTACAGATATACTTCGATTAATTGGGGGTATTTTGATTTATTGCAAGACCAAGGAAGAACATGATGCTTATCTTTGTATAGCTCTTCCAACTCTTTAGAAGAAAAGTGGTATGCAAAGTTGACAAAGTGTAAATGTTGGTTGCCTAAGGTTGCATTCATTGGCAACGTGATCTCAGATAAGGGGATAAAAATAGACCTCAAGAAACTACAAGCCATAGTTGAATGATAAAGTCCAAAGATTGTTTTCGAAATTAAAAGTTTCTTGGGAATTTGCTGGTTACTATCGAAGGTTCAAAAAGAACTTTTCGATGATTGTCTTCCTTATGAATGCGATTGAGAAAAGACACATTATTCATTTGGACTGATAAGTGCCAATAAAAATTTGATGTGTTAAAAAGAATACTAACATAAGCTCGAAGGTCATTGTAATCATCTTATGTGATTTATAGTGATGCGTCTCATATTGGTTTGGAATGTGTGCTCGTGCAAGAGGGAAAATTAAGGCTTATGCTTTAAAGAAACTAAAAAAGCATGAAAGAAATTATCTGAATCTTGATCTTGAGTTGGCAACAGTTATGTTTACTTCATTGATATAACACTACTATCTATATGGTGAGTGACACTATATCTATACAAATCTCAATAATCAAAAGTATGGGTTAACTTGACGAAGTGAAAATAGAGCAAATGGATTCAATTCCTTAAAGAATGATGATATGCTTATCGACTACCATCAAGAAAAGCTATGTGGTGGCTGACACGATAAAGTCGAAATACATTTATGTTCTGATAGTTTTGGATACAAGATTGTTTTTAAAGAAATATGGTACTTTGATTGAATAATTAAAGTTAAGCCTGTGTGGTTATATCGAGTAAGGGATATTCAAAGGAATGATGAAAATTGTTGTGCTTGAAAAAGATAGAATGAGTGGAAAAAGTTGAAACCAAATACCTGGAAGTTAAGTATGATGGATGCTTATATTATCGAGGAAAAAGTCGATATAACTGGCAGGTATGAAAGGAGCTATTACCGAGTTGGTTAAAATAGAGCATCACATGCCTTCTGATTATTGTAACCAATTTCCATCCTTTAGTGGGAATATGAACGAGTTACAATGGACTTTTTAATTGGTAAAGATTATTTAAGATAATATCAAGATAGTTACCGATGAATAAAAGTCTTATTCGGATTCAAAAAAGCAATGAGATATTATATTAAGGTGGTGATTAGATCATTCTCGTGTTATTACAATGAAGGATATTAAGATTCAGTTAGAATTTGACTTATGAAGGAATCAATACTTAAAGTTTGTTAGAGAACTCAAAAGTTGAAAAAATAGTATCCTTATCTTTTTACATAAGGTACCAATTGAAAATTTGTCAAAATTTCTTAAGGGGGAAGAATTGTAATACCCCAGAACTTTGGGTTATGACCAAAATATAAATTTTGAAAGTTTAGTGGGTAAAGTATAAAGTTTGGAAAAGTCTAGTGACCAAAAAGGTAATTTTTAAAATTTGATACCAAAAGTGAAATTTCCAAATTGAGATGTTTTAACAGCATAAATGAATAGTTCACCCACAAAAATGACGTTTTAGTGGGAATCCGATTTTTTATTCGGAATTTATATTAAAAGCTAGAAAGTGTTAAAGTTCGATAAAATTCGGTAAATCAAATTTTTGAATAGAAATTTTGAGAAAATTGAAGGATATTAAATTAAGTTAGAAATATTATTTTTACATTTTAAAATGATGGAAAATAATATAGATCATTAGATCTGAGAATTAATTTCCATGTTCAATTTGGACCGTTGGATTAAAGTGGAAATATTCAAACTTTTGGAAAATTACATGTATAAAATGGTAAAGGGTATAAATTTTGTCCATCTTTAACTTTGGAAAGATGATAAGGGTTATGTGGCTTGGTATGAATGTGAATATAAGGGTTCATTAATGGGAAAATTGTCATTTCACATTAAATGAATTTTAAATTCATTTAAGCTTAATAAAAACAAATTAACATGAAATTATATAGAAATTTCATGAGACAAGCTAAACTTCAAGCCTCCATTTCATGCTCCCCGTGAACCAGGTAAAAAATTATTTTTCATTTATTGAGCTAATTTATTTTGATTTTTGTTCGAGTCGTGAAATAGAAAAGTATTCTTTTCGTCAAACGCTATCGTTTGGTAGCATTATTGCATGCTAATTTTGTTTGAGTTCAAAGATCCCAAATTCTAGGGTTGGTATTCGTGTTATGGTTTTAAGAATTGATAATGGAATTTGAGGTTGTAGATTCATTTCCAAGCTTGATTGATGATTAAAATCACATATACATGTATATATATGTTTTGTCCTAACCCTATATTTAGGGAAATACATGATTTGATAAAATTAAGTTAGGGGTTTAATTGTAGAGGTTTTGAAATGTTCCATAGAGGTTGATTTCATGCTTGAATCAAATTGAATCAAGTGAAATCATGAAACAATACACTCTTTGATATTCAGCCTAAGCTTTAAGAAGTGAGAAATATTATGGAAAAAATATGTAAGGGGTGGAAATGAATTAGGAAGGATTCTTCAAGCCTTAGAAAGTTATAGGGACCCTTTTTTAGTTTTATAAAAGTTAAGGGACCTATTCAATAATTATGAGGAAGTTGTGGGTTAACGTGTAATTATGCAATAGTTAATGATGCTCATTTATATTGTGTTTTTGAAATCAAAAACATTATTAAAGCTGAAATGTTGATCTGTAAGGAAGGTTTACAAGCTAAGGACAACAAGGGAGTGCAAATTTAATTTGTACTTATGTTATCAACCTAACATTGGCTTGCAATGAGCCAGTGATGGAGTTATTATGGTAAGAATTAACTCTGAATTGCTATGTGTTTTATGGTTTATGCATGCATGTGCATTTGGTGAGCTAATAGAATTAGTGAATAAGCTGAAAATGCAAATTGGTGAAATCTACCTAGATCTGTATTATGAATAGTAAGTTTATAAAATCATAATAAATTCTACAGAAAAGATTAGGGGATGATTTTATACCGTTGGATTTGTATATCAGTCTAGTTTTATTTAAAACAAACAAAAATTGATTTCAATATGTATACAAAAAATATATGAATTTTAATTGAGGATAGGTCATAAAATAGGGCAGTAGATTATACTCAAAATAACTTTTGTATGTCAACTTTGAGAATTTACTATAAATTGTACAAATGGAACTATAAGGATTTCCTTATATGGTTGGATTCTTATTTAAGTCTATATTCCATTGGTATAAACATAAAAGATTTTAAGTGTGTATATTAATACAAAATAATATTTCTTTGAATGTAGTGCAAATTGTCAGAATATGAAATTGTTATAAAAATTGGGATCCAACCAAATTGAAAGCGAAGGATTAAGTTGAAGCTTAGTGAGGCTTATATTGAATTGTTTATAATGTAAAAGTGAGTGCAATGCATGCATGACATTATACATGGTTGTTTTGTACATCATTAGGATGACAAGCGATAAGTCTACCTTATATTGGCATGATATTTATGTCATTTATCATATTATTGACATGTCCATAATATGTCAAGGTTGAAAATATGATGCATTGATCACTAATTTACATGATATTATTTTGGGCATGAACTATCCAATGCCAGATTATATGAATATACATTGTCATGGATGAAATAAAATAGATTGTATGCTCAAGCAAGTCATTCAATGACAAGGTGTAGTTGGCATGCCATAGGGTCCAACAATTGCAAGTTTAATTTAACACTATATTGTGCAATGACACTTAGTACAGTGGTGGGGATGACCTTATATGAAAGCACTTCAGTGTATATATGACTCGAATGCCCAGGGTCTTCATAGGTTTAATTTTGGGCTATGGTTTACCAGTAAAATAATTATATTTACATTATTATCATGTTGATTATGGTAATATATTGGACAGGTAGGTAAGGTGATCTTATTGCATTTAAAAATGACATTTAATTACATGTAATGTGCTGCACTATTTATTATGTATATTGCCTCACTAATTGTATACTTAGTGTGATGATTTTCACACGTAGGTAAAAGAAAGCGAGGGGAGTAAAAGGTTGTACTGGCATCAATCACCAAGGAATATTTTCAGGTAACATTGATGACATCCTATGGTGTTCTAAAGTTTCTAGATGGGGGTAGTATACAAACTATTAATATAGTTAGTATCAAATAATAAATGGGGGCTATTACTCATATAATAAATAAAACTAGTTGGGATGCTACAATCAATGGGGGTAGTATACAAACTATTAATATATGAGTTTAAATATTATATTTGATGTGACATCTTTAACTCGTAAGAGTACTCATATATGGTTTATGGGTGTTACACGCTACCATTTTGAGCTGAAGTCGATGATGATTCGGATGCTACAATCAAGGGGGTAGTACAGTTTATTTACCAAACATTATAGAGCACACCTTAAAGAATTTCATGGAAGTGTGTGATTTTGTTGTACAACAAGGAGTACATGAGGAAGCTTGGAAGTTGAAGTAGTTTCCCTAGTCACTCTGTGACAAAGCTAAAACATGGTTGAATTCATTGCCACATGGTGTTATAACATTGTTGAATGAATTGGTGATTTTTTTTTGTTGTGTTACAACCCTCCTAACATGAAAGCTAAGCTAAGGAATGATCTCACATCATTCAAGAAAATGGAGGATGAGAACGTATATGAAGCTTTGGAGCATTTCAATGATTTGTTGTGAAAATGCCCAATGCATGGTTTCCAACATTGGAAACAAATGAAAAATGTTTATAATGGATTGAATATGCTAACAAGAATGGTTATTGATGCCTCTGTTAATGGAGCATTATTGGAAAAGAGCTACAATGAAGCTTACGACATACAGGAGATGATACCCAATAATGATTATCAGTACCCCAATATAAGAAATATTAATGGTAGACATAATGCTACATTAGTGAACAACAATGCTATCAACATGATGGCCACACAAATGACATCATTGACTAAAATGATAAAGGAAATGCAAAAGCCTAGGGGCATTTATAAGGTAAATGCCAATACCAATGCATATGGGAACATTTACATTTCCGATTTTTGAAACCACCCTGATTTTTCTTTGAGAAACCAAAATATAGAAAATCCTAATATGGCTTTCTAATCAAACTTTGAGAATAAGCAGTAGCATTATCAACAATAGCAACATCAGCAGTAGATTGTGCCCCATCTTCAATCAAGTAGTATATATTGCAACCATAGCAACATCGCAACTAAAAAAACTATCAAGGTAATATTCTAATCAAGACTCCAACACAATATATGTTAGGTCTCTACTGAAATAGTATATTTCACGAAACGAGGAAATGAAGCAAAGGAATGAAGCTTTGATTCAATGCCAATCAACATCACTAGAAGCATTAACAAACCAAGTGGGGTAGTTGGAAAATGCTATGAGCAATAGACAACATGAAACATTGCCAAGTGACACTGAAGTTAAAGGAACATGGGAAAGCTCATTGTAATGAGCATTGTGCAACCATCACTACACGAAGTGGTTTCATATTGGAAATTCTAATGAAGAATCTAAGAAGAATGATGATAACAGGCTTTGAAAATAAGAGAAAGACAAAGGCTTGGAAATTGAGAAACCCACTTTGGATGTTACAATGAAGGATGAAAAATGGTGCTATAATTCTGGAACATTACCAGCAGTAATACCGACAACATTGTCATTTATAATACCACTTCCAATTCTAAGACAACCAAATTTAAGGCCTCCACCTCATTCCCTACAAAATTCAAGAATGCCAAATAGGATTAGCAGTTCAAGGCATTCACTGATGTACCAATTCAATTGAAAATCAACATTTCATTGATTGATGTGTTAGAGAAAAAAATCAAATTATATCAAGTTCATGAAGGAAGTTCTTTATAAGAAGAGAAGGCCTGGATAATTTGAAACTATTTCACTCATCGAGGGATGTATTGTTATGGCTACAAGTCAGTTTCCGTCAAAACTCAAAGATCCAAGAGTTTTATTATTCCTTGCATTATTTGTGATCAATTTATAGGTAAAGCATTATTTGATTTATGTTCTAGCATTAACCTTATGCCATTTTCAATTTTTATTAAATTTAAAAGTTGAGAGGCAATGCCCAACACTATGACTTCAACTTTCCGATCGTTCTGCCATATATCATCGTGACAATATGGAAAACATGTTAGTTATAATGGACAAGTTCATTTTCCTACCGATTTTATCATACTAGATTGTGAAACCAACAAGGATGTCCTGATCATATTTGGTCAACCCTTCTTTGTAACCGTTCAAGCCTTGATCGATGTTGAAAAGGGAGAACTTACTATGCGCTTAAATGATGAACAAATTACTTTCAATGTATTAAATAATATTTTATATGAGAATATTAAAGTTGAATGTTATTCTATTGATATCATTGATATTTTTGTGCAGAAACACTGGAAAGAGTGTCACAACATTGATACTATTACAGGTAATGTTGTGATAATAGAGGAACTCGACAAGAATGCAGAGGCAACATTTTGAGTCATTGAAGTTGTCATCCCGACCTATCGTAGATCTTTGACCCCTACTGAAGATGCACCCACTCTTTAAATTAATCATATTTCTGATCATTTGATGTACGTATTTCTTGGGGAAGATAAGACTTTGTCTATTATTATTGCATCAAAGCTGAGAGCATCAAAGTTGGGAGCATCGTAGGAAAAACATTTATATAATGTCATGATAAAACACAAGCGAGCAATTTATTGGAGCATTGCTGACATCAAGGGCATCAGTCTATCTCTTTGCATGCAGAAGATATTGTTGGAAAATCCTAACACCAATTCAATTCAACAACAAAGAAGATATGAATCTTATTTTGAAGGAAGTTTTTAGAAAGAAAATCATCAAGTGTTTGGATGCTGGAATCATCTACCCTATTTCTGATAGCAGTTAGGTTAGCCTTGTTTAATGTGTTCCAGAACAGGGTGGTATCACTGTTGTCTCCAATGAGAAGATTGAGTTATTTCCTACATGCACCACCACTGGGTGGCGTATATGTATAGATTATAGGAAGCTGGACAAAACCACAAGAAAATACCATTTTTTGTTCATATGCCACATGCTAGATAGGCTTACTAGAAAAGCTTTTTATTGTTTCCTTGAAGGCTATAGTGGCTATAATCTTATAGAAATTACTCATGAAGAATAAGAAAAGACTACTATCATTTTACCATAGTTAATTTTCAAATAATTCTTTTTGGTTTGTGCAATGCTCCAACAACGTTTCAACATTGTATGAGCACTATATCTTCGACTTGGTTTAAGAATTTCTTGAGGTTTTCCAAGTTTAGTTTTCTATTTTTGGCTAAAGCTTTGAGCAATGCCTTGATAACTTAGCCACTATTTTAAAGAGACCAATCTCGTATTAAATTGGCATCATAGTAGATAAAGTGAAAGTGGAAGTTATTGAGAGCTTTCCACCTTGCACCAATGTGATAGGAGTTTGGAGTTTCTTAGCGTATGCTAGATTTTATCAATGATTCATCAAAGATTTTTCCAACATTGTTAGATCGCTCTATTCATTGCTGGAGAAAATTAGGAAATTTGTTATTGATGATGAATTTCTTAAGTCCTTTGAAACAAGCAAGCTAAAATTGGTTAATGTTCACATTATAGTGGAACCTAATTTGAATTTTCCATTTAAACTAATGTGTGATGCTAGTTGTCAAGTTGTTGGTGCATTATTGGGACAACAGAAAAATAAAATATTTCATGCCACACATTTTGCTGGTAGAACTTTGAATGAAGCTCAAGTCAAGTAAACAACAATCGAGAAAGAACTATTAGTTGTAGTATTTCCCTCTGACAAATTTAGATCTTATCTCGTAGTATTTCCCTCGCTAGGTATTTTTTCTACAAGAGTTTTACATTGAAGTGGGGGTTAAGAAAGGATTCGATAATCAAGTGCCTGAACATTTATCTCGTTAGGAATTAGGTAGTGAAGATGGAAAAAATACTAATGACTCTCAATCATTTCTCGGATGAAAAACTTCTTGCAAGTGAAGCGTTGCCTTGGTATGTGGATATAGTTAATTAGTTGGTAAGTGGTTTACTGCCAATGGACCTTAAACGACAAGGAGTGAAGAAGTTCTTACAATACAATTGAGTTTATTGTTAGGATAAGCCATACCTCTTCAAGCAATGCATCGATGCCTTAATGCGCTATATGGTGGACACTTTGTAGGCATGTGCATAGCAGTAAAGATGATCCAATGTGGTTATTACTGGCCAACATTATTCAAAAATGCTAATGACTTTGTCAAATATTGTGATTGTTGTCAAAGAACAAGTAGCATTTCTATTCTCAAAGAAATACTGATGTAACCTATTTTGGAGATCGAATTATTTGATGTTTTGGGATTGGATTTCATGGAACCATATCCTTCATCTTGTGGTAAACTTTATTTCATAGTTGATGTTGACTATGTGTCCAAGTGTGACCAAGTGGGAGAGTTTTGAGATTTCTTTATAAAAACATCTTCACTCGCTTTGGAACTCTAACAACATTTATTAGTGATGAGGGTTTCCATTTCACATAAAAACAAGTTGCTAATGCCCTACATTGTTATGGTGTGAAGCATCAAATTTCTACAAGATACCATCCTCAATCGAATTGCCAAGTTAAGGTCTAAAATCAAGAAATCAAGCAAATATTAGAAAAGTTTGGGAATCCCTTGAGGAAAGATTGGTCTTTACGCCAAGATAAAGCTCTGTAAGTATATCGACTAGTCAAAAAAATACTATTAGGTATATCCCCTTTACATCTAGTGTATGGAAAAGCTTTCCATTTGCCCATAGAGCTGGAGCATAAAGCAATGTGGGCCCTTAAAAGATTAAACTTTGATCTCGATGTTGTTGGCAAGAATATAATGTTGGAACTTAATGAATTTGACATCTTCATAATGATACTTATGAAGGTACGAGAATATACAAAGATAAAAGAAAAAAAATGGCATGACGAATACATTTTGCTGCAAAAAATTCCATGTTGGGGAGCTTGTGTTATTATTCAATGGTCAGGACCCTTTGATGTGATAAAAGTATATCATGATGGAGTATATCTAAACAAAAACTTGGTGGATGGAAGCATATATAAAGTTAATGGACAACACTTGAAGCATTATTTCAATAGAAAATATTAAAATATTGCTTCCATATCCCTATGCGAACTTCCATCTCTATATTTTTTATTTAAATAATTCAATTTTGAAATTGTAACATTTTGTTTTATTTCATGAGTTTAATTTTTTTTGTACAAAGAATACCACTACATTGTCTTCTGTATCACCTTTTTTTCTTCAACTTTTTTGTACAATAATTACTAAAGTTTTGCATGGTTGATGATGTATTGGATACCAGTAGCAAAGCCAACTGGGTGATGACTCATTAATGGTAAAAAGGTAATTGTGAGTTATTATCCATTATTTACCCTAGGCCAGCCTAACCGTCTATTTCTCGCCTTATCTATCCATCTATTTTAAAAGCAAAGATAAAATCTTATCTTAATCTTCTTACCTTTTCACCATAGCATTTAAACCCCACCACTAACCCTATTAATCACTTTACCTTTTCACCTTTCCCTTTCATCTTCTCTTTTGACCATTTCCCTCTTAAAACCTGAAATGTGCTATTTTTATTTTTCGTTTCTTCCTCTACACTCTTCATTCTTCACTAC